TGTTTCATCACCTCGAATAGTCTCGATGTTATCCAGACCTACAAATTAGGTTGAGATCCATTGGTTGCTACAGATTGACAAACAAAATGTACCCATACCATGTTTATAAATCCCAATAAGAAGGCACTTGTCACATTCAGCATCCCAGCCGTCACACATTGGCTCCACTAGGGTTGGTACAGTTATGTCAATTGATGACCAGTTTGCTCCTGCTTCGATTTCTGTAGCTTTAGCACCAATGATCGTCTAAATCCAATGAACTTTATGAAGATGTGACACATAACATTTCGAAATGACAGCGCCGTACCTTCTGTAGATGTCTCAGTTGATCGATTTTCACAAGCAGTTTGTTGGCATGTCGATGAACATGACGCTGGAATGACGCATCCAGCGCGAAGTTAGGTGGATTGAACTCAGGTAGTGCTGCCCATCCCTAAATTACCCTCTCGATGTGATATATTCGTTTTTAAGGGTATGAAAATCAATAAAACCTATTTGGAATGGGTCAAAGGAAGGTAAAACTTATGACCTGGTGATAGATGGACTGCGATCCTTTGGGCTCTTTAGCATTCTTCGCTCCTTGAGGCGCTATCATCTGCCACACGGTTTGCCTAATCTTCTCATCTCCGCGGTATTCCCTTACACAATGGAGCAGCAACGTTCTTGCCATATGAGCGATATCCATTTCAGAGACCTTAGATCAACTCATCTTAGTAAATAAAAATTGTTATGTGGATATGTTTACCTCTAACTCTCCGCTTTTCTTCATTTCGGCCCATCGCCCCCATCCCCATGAGGCAAGCACTTTTTCAACCTGAAACAACCGCACTGAATTCAACACAGCGACCACATTCCCAAGTTCTCCAGAAAAACTCAGTGTATAGAACCAGAGCTTCAGAAAGTCAAAAATGATCAAACAAGATCAAGAATATAAGAGCCAACTTACCTTGAAATATTCGCTCTTATTGAAAGCCAATTCGTCAGGTCGATAGTTCACATAGTCGCCATCTTCGTCATCACCGCGCCTTCGTTTACGGCCACTACTTTGAGAATTGGCTCCTAAAAGCAAAACATTTGTGAACAGAAACATTACAAAAAGACTAGGAATTCAGGATCAGCGAGATATCCAGAACAATTGTAACATAACGTTACACTCAAAAGGAATTGATACTCACCAGTTCTCTTCCTTCCTTTACCAACCTCATCGCTACCGTCAGAATCT